TAACCTCAACCACATACGTGCTCGTTCAAAAGGCGCTAGTGTCGATGAACGAAACTGCGCGCCATTCGCCATTCGTATTCAACAATCTAGCTGCATAGATTATTGTACAGTTGTCTCCGCAAAACATTACTTCAATCCAACAATTAGTTCTACAAGTAATAATAGTAATACTAGTCAACCTTGTCATTAATAAATAACAGAATAAATAGCATATACTTCAGCCATATCTTTATTGTATTATTATAATATCCCTTCCACTTGTGACCTGTCTTCGCTACCACACAACACCCGTGGTCTCTGAGTTGTCAACGGCATCAAATTGTATCCGTCGAACCGACCTTGATAAAACAAGTCGGAACGACGAGTTGCATTTGTACAGTGTACAATATTATTTTGATAATTATCTTTTGTATATCTAAAGTAATTGTCATGTATTTATAAAACTTTATTTATTTACAAATATAATTAACAATCGAATCGTTTCTCATACAAATTTAAAATTTGAATTATTTATTTGTTTATCTAGTTAAATATGAGTATATTTAACATGCTTTTTAATTTAAAAAAAAGACATTTAAAATACATTAAATATAGATATTGTATAGTAAACAAGATGAAGATAATTATTACTAGATAAAAGATAAAATTACTTAATTTGGATAATTACAATATTCTTTTATTTTGTTTCATTGTTTGTTAGTGTCTGGGATCAGACTGAAAACCTCCCTGTGATGTTGGGTGGAGGTGTTACTAGCAAGTAAAGGAGGCAAATGCAATTATTCAATTCTACAAATAGTATATCTTTGTCTTTCCTTTATTAAATACAATAATGTAATAATAATTAATGGTTATAGAAGTGTATAAATGGAGAGTATAAGTGACTTATGTATTAAGTTTCTTCAATTATTTTACGTGTGTGCGTGATGAGCTGCCGCTGTTTAATCCGTTGTTGATTTAAGTGTGCGTGATGAGCCGCTGCTGTGTTAGGGCGCGTGATAAACAGCCGCTGTTTATCTATGTTAATATATGTTGGAGTTATATTTTTGTTAATTTTACTCTTAAATTATGCTTGCACTAACGCTTCTTGAATATAGTTTAATGTATTTTGATTGTTGTGGCGTCACTATTGGTTTATTAGCTTGCTTGTTACTTGATGATTAATTTATATAGCTACAGTGAGTGATGACTGTAGTTTGGACGTTTGAAGAAAGAAAAGTGAGCCCGTCATGGAGACTCCGTAATTTATAACCAGCAAAAGAGCTGCGCATCAAGCGCTGCTCAAATATTTTTCGTAGAAGCGGTGCGACGCCGGCAGTGCACCGCTGCCTGTTGCTATGCCGAATTATAATCGTATATTCGAGTTTTCAGCGTAGAAAATTTGTCGAATTCGCTACTATGTTTTGTATTTAACATAATGTCCGGGAGCTTATACTTCTACCACTTTTGAATTCCGCTTTCAATTGTTTCAATCCCAAACAGTTAGACTTATGATCTACATTTAGGTTTATGATTAAAGATTTAGATTTAATTTAAATACAGGAAAGACTAATAATATCAGCCATAACATATTCTATTTCAATTTATATTGTAGCAACAATATCTTTTGATCATCTTAAATTAATTATATTGGTTTAAAATAAATAGTTTATCAAATAAATTTTCTTATCTTTTAAAAACATTATAATATTGAAATCTACAAATAAACAAAATAGTAAAAAAGAAGAAATTTAAGTTTTTGTAAATTTAATTTTAACATTGTTTTTGATATAAAAAATTTATATCATCAATGGCATGAAAAATTTATTTTATAATTAAATTTTAAATTTTTTTTTATATAAATAAGAATACACTATATTTGAATATTAAATAATTATTTATAATCTTAAACGTTGTTTTTTATAAAACTATTTTCAATGTAGTCGTAAAAAATCTTTAAAAGCTACTGTTCAGGATTGAAGTACCCAGCAATGGGAATTTAGTTATTTGTTTTAATATATGATTCCATTAAATTTAAACTTCATTATAATTCGCAATATTTGAATAATTCACTACGAAAATTCTTAACGTTAAAACCTTTGCCTAAGAAAACCTTATACCGTATCCGCATAGCGACAAAAGAAGATTCTCGAATCTACTAAAGCTTGCTTTCCAGCGAATTTTACAGAATTTGCAAGAATTATAAAACTATAAATGTACGAAATCATATATAAGGAGCAACACACGACGAAGCAAATGAGTTTTGTTGAGTAAGTCAAGTGAAATTGTGTAAGTCATAACAGTTCTACACGTCTGTCTACGGGAATCCGTGTAAGGTATACTCATTTGTTTACATTGTTATTATTATTGCTGCCTAGCTATGGGTGCGCCCTTCGCAACAGACCGCATCGAGGGCGTCGGTATAATTTGGTATTAACTCTATCTAGTTATCATTTATTGTTATTACGACATATCGCCGACATTATCGGCCATGCCTGTGCAACTTGATTATCTTATAAAAATGTGGAAGAGGGCGCCGATACTGTCTGGTGGCTCCGGCTATGCCATGATCATTGTCACACAGCGCCGACATCCTTGGTCAGGCCACTGAAGATGCCACCGACATTGACCAGATAGTCCCCACAATTTATATCGCCAATGAGAGCGCCCATGGCCAACCGTCTCGCGATTTCTTTGGTAATTACTGTTACGTTTCGCTAGTGCGATAAAGCGCATTCAGCACAAATAGCCCAGTCTCACCTTGCACACCCGGACGACGTCCTACAGTTTATGACAACTATCAGAATCACGACAAGCTCAACAATTCTTCCAACGATCGGTAAAAAACAATTACCAATGCAACATAACCTTAAATAAAAGTCACTAAAACCAATTGTGTTATATTGAATTGATGCATTAACCTCTCACTCATCTTCCCTCCCCACCATTAAACCGGTGGTACGGTCTAATCCAACCATCTTGGTCTTCGAACCATTCTGGTTGCTGGAATTCCAAACAGCTACTTAATCGATTGATTGGAAATTTTCTCTAAATTCGTTTAAACAATAGAAAACCTACGTACGTTATTATTTTTAGAATTAATATTATATATTATATTTTAATATCATTTACACAGTTTATCAAGCTATTATTATTTTCTTGGTGTAATTGTGATTGGGGATGGAGTAGAATATTCATTAGCTTAAGTTGAACTCAAAATTTAGAATACAGCTTTAAGAATACAAATATAGGTCCATAGTTATATATATAATGCGTATTGCATTGTACCGTTATAGATGTGACGTCGTCTTTAAACTTAGATTTTGTGTGCACATCTACTAATTTTAGAAAATGTTTTTATGGTTAATATTTATAGTTCGATGTTGCAATATACAAATTATAATAGATACAACGTATTCTGATCTGTAATTTTTTTTTAAAAGACTAAACTGAATCCATATTTTCTTTTCAACAGTACAATTCAAGCATTTATTTATTGTACATGTAAATTACTATATTAATTTTAAAAGATTTTAAATTAATTAAAATTTTGCTTTAATTTGTAACTTGTTTTATGTGCGCTCCTTATAGAATTTATTTAAATATAGGAAGATATTAAAAACTTTAAGGTGGTAAAAATACTTATATGACATACCTTATCGGTCACTGGATTATATAATCAACAATTATATTGTATGATTAAGTATAGTTAGGAATTTGACATACACTTATAAATATCCCTAGATTTACTGTTAATAACTATTAAATGTATAAATTTAAAAATATTATGTATTCTTTTGATCTATCAATAAAAATGTTCAAAATTAGCATACTAAGAGTAGAATATAATATGATCTGACCATATAATACAAATTGTACACGAGCTATTCATTATTTCTTTTCTGTTGTATCGATCGGTATAAAATCATTTAAATCAATATAAAATAGAAGAAATTATTTATAATGGGTATAAACCGCTAACAAACGTATGTTATTATCATCTAATAAACGGTTATCAATGATGGTTCAAAGCAATTGATCATTAATAGAAAGTTAAGATGTTTATTCGTTAAAAAAATTCTCAAATATAAAGTACAATAAAAATAATAAGACATTTTCAATATTCCATTGCCTGATTTTTTACTAATCCACTGCGCATTGTAAGATATATATATATATATATATATATATATATATATATTAAAGAAACGATTAAAACAACTACACAGTTCTGTTTAGGATAATTAAAAAATATATATATTAAATTATAAGACTATTAAATTTTCTAGTTTAATTGTGTAATTATTATTTGCTTCCACGTACTTCTAGATATATCTAGACAATAAGAACAACTAATCAACTAGAAAAGTAGCACTTTAGCATTTTGAATTTTAAATAAATAATACTAATACCATCTCTATGAAACTTAAAAATTTGAAAATTTCTAATTTACTATCTAATATGTAAGTATTCAACATTTAATATTTTTAATGTTATAGGATTTTAACTAATTATTATTAAAATATAATTTTATTAATAATTTCTTAACTGGTATTTAATTCACTAAATATAATAAATTATGGAAAATTAAAATTTTAAGTACTTTAAATTTAAATAATACAATCATTTTCCGTACAATAGATCAATAAAACTTTCAATATCATTCTATTGAAATTGCCAAAAATATTAATTTTTAGTAATTAATTGTATTTTAAAAGTTAAATAAATAAATTTGTATGCAGCAGAGTACAATTAATAGAAGTTTAAGTATGTTATTCATATATTAAACAGTGCAATTAAATAATTCTTCACATATTACAACATTCAATATATCCATTGAACACATTTTTTTTATTAAAAAAAGTAAAATTAATATAATCATAAACTTAATGAAGCAAAAATTAAATGATACTTTAAATAAGGTAATATAAATTCAACATCAGTACTGTCTAATTGAAATAAGTCTTGTATAATGTTTTAATATTGAATATGAGATAACGGAACAAACAGTTAATTTGTTTTTGATTAGCATATTGAGATTAAAATTTTTAGGTTAATTTTTTTTAATTTTTTTCTATCAATATTTTGGAGTTAGTTAAACACGTTTAATTAGGAGTAATTTTTATAGTTCAACAAATAAGCAAATAAAATAATTTTTACGATTTTTATTATCCCAATACTTTTTTATTATTATAAATTAAATATAAAATTGGATATTCTATATAAAATTAGGAAGAATCTATTATTTTTATTTTTGCATTAATTAATACTTCATCAGACGGATAATGTTCAATTATTTAAAGTTGTTATCAATGAAGTGTATCTGAAAATTAATACATAAACTTAAATAAGAAACTGAGAATATATACGAAAATTAATATTTTTTAAGTTATTAAGTTGGAAAATAATTATTCAAAGCAATGTCGGGGCAGGATTTTCATTCTAATAATTTGATGAGATTGAAGAATGTTAATGCAGCAAAAAAAATTAAAAATGGTTCACCAAAAATAAGAGAAATTCTTAGACAGGTTAGAAATTATTTTAATACTCATTCCTATAAATTGATTTCGTTTAGATCAAAATATTTTATAGCATAGAGCAAATTACTTAATTTTTAGAGATGTCGACAGCGTATACTTGAAAGACGAAATGACTTATTTATGAACCGTAGATTTGCTATAACAAACAATAATCAAGAAATAAATAATGCTCTAAAAGGTATTGTTCATGAAGAATTAAAAAATATATTATGTACTGAAATTGCAAAGATGCAAAATATTTTAATTGATAAAAAAGAGGCCTTTGCAACAAAAGATCAAGTTTTAGAAATTGAGGAAGTAATGGAAGGTAATACTAAAAATACATGTTTTAATGTTTGTCCAATTAATGCTATTTTTCGTAATATAGTTTTATACAGAATTTTATGAAATTTTTCTTTTTATGATTAACTGTTTTTTAAAATGCAATTGTACAATATATTATTATTTTTTAAAATATTTTAATATTTAATTTTTACATTTTAGAACAATGGATGATTGAGGAATATGACAAAATATTATGGGAACAAAAACAGATATTATCTATGTTTGTTTATGATTTGTTATGTCCAATTTGTCTCAAACATTTACTTCAAGAAATTTCAAATTTTGTAGTGTGTGAATGTGGTTTCAAATTACCTGTTCAGATTGGTTTGCAAGGTTTAAAAGAAAATATTCAAACACAAGTTACTTCTCATTCTGCATCATGCTTGGATATACCAAAATTTTCAGCTTTTTGTGAAGATGATAATATTTCATTATATTTTTCTTGTAATTCATGTAATGTTTTTGCTTTGGTTTAAAATGATAGGAAAATATACAAAGAGCTAAATGAAATTTGAATTAGAATTACAATAATTCGAGATAGTGATATATAATTTTTAAAGCTTACAGTTAAATTTATATATTTTTTTATAAATTATTCATAGATAATTTGTACATAAGTTGTAATGTTTAGCAATTATTTCATTTATAGAATTAATATATTTCTATCTACCAAAAAAGTGTTTTAAAAGTATTATTTTGAAAGTATTTAAAAATTTTTACATTTAAAAGATAACATAAATATTTTATAATTCAAATATTTTTCAATATATTTAATAAATTATTATTAATTTATAAATTGTTTTGTTAATTTCTAAATTGCTTTTTTCTGCCATTTTCTGAATTATCTGTTATAAAACAAGCATGATAAATTATTCATTACTCATCTTTATGTATTCATTCATTTATACACTTCAAATTTTCATTTCTTAAAACTTTAAATATTATAGTTAATTTTGGTTATAATATAATTCAAAATTTGTATAATAAAGCAACTCTATTTAGCTATAGAATTTTTTCTCTGATTTATATAATTCTTAAATATATCATTACTTTTTTCATATCTTTATCAGAAATATTACACATTTTAAATCTAAATAAGACATAAATAATTAATTGAAAAAATTACATATTAGAATATTCTTAAAATTTCAGTTAATATATTTTGGATTGTAATATATATAAACATTCTATACTTTTATATTGTTATTAGTATAAGAATTATTTAATAAATGTTTGTAAAGTAATATATAGAAACTTATAAAATAAAATTTGGTAAAAAATTTTACATTTCATTAATAACTTCCACTACGTGATTAAATTTTTAATTTATGTATTAAAATTAATTAGGAAGGATGCGAAAGTTCAGTAAAGAATTTTGATGTTTAAGAAGTTAGTGATAGATTTAAATGGCAAACTAATTTATAATTTTTATTAGTATACATTTTCATTAATTACAATTTAATAATTAATGATACATTAACTAACATCATGAGTTATAATTTTTTAGAAAGGGCATTGGAAATTGTTGATAGTTTTATTCTGAAGTAACTAACTATATACATGTTTGTGTGGTAAAACGCCGTTGCATAGATTTTGCAATGAATTTATCAGTTTTATAAATTTTTCTTATCTTAAATTTTTACAATTCCATTAGAATCTAAAATATATAATAAATTCTATAGTAAAATTATCACAAATATTAGGATGTCGTATTGTGATATAAATTACTCAGAACTTATAAAAGATTAAGATTATTCCATTTTTTAAATAAAATGAACAAAGATAACAATTTAACCATATGTTTAACAAAATACAAATTGAATCAATATAATCATAAAATGAATAAAAAATAGTGTCCTTTACATTTTGTAATCTTAAAATATATAAATATTAATAAAAGTGAAAAAATGTCGTTCGTTGTATAGTTAGTAAATATTCTTATACATTTATAAATTTTTATTGGAGATATATTTACATTAGTTTACATTTTATGTAAACGTAATAAAATGTAATAAAATTTTTAATTGTTAAATATAAAAAAGATTAATAGTTCTTTATAAAATAGCTTATCAATTAAAGATTAAGTATTGAAACAGAAAATTTTTGGTCAAATTAACAATAGTCAAATAAAAACGTAATAGAAAAACAATGTTATAGAATTCTTTTTTATAATTAAAATTGAAATAAAAGTTTTCAATAAAAGTAAACAAAATTGTATTCTCATTTACTATAAAATAATTTTGAATTCCATGTTTTTCAATTAATCATAATTACTATATTTTGTGTCACGTTTGATCTTTATTTTGAAAATATTAAATAAAAGTATTATATTCCACAAATATCATGACTTAATAATTTATAGTTAATACACAAATTTAATCAATTAATTCATTTATTAAAAAAACATAATTACTTTTATTTCATTATAAAATTTTATTTCCATGTAAATTGGGATTTTAATTTACTTTTTATTTATAACTAATAATAGAATTTTGTAATTTTATACATTTTAGAAAATATAGTATATTATTGTTAATTAAATATCTATGTAAAATAAAATATTTAACATATTTGAAATATAATAAGAAGTAAACAACATTATAAATTAAATTTAAATTATATAACAATATTATTTACTTTTATATCTCAAAAATTAACTTTTTTTATAGTATATGTAATTTCTTTATTTTATACTGAATACATACTTAATTTATTATTATATTATACTTAAATATTATGCATAATTTTATAATGCTTAATAGGACTTTTATGTTTAATAAACTATTATATGAAATAATTAAGTATAATTTTATTACATTAATCAAGTATTAAAGCATTATTTATTTTATTACTTAAAATGTATTTATAAAATACAATATTGGTAAAGTTTTGTAAATAAATATATTATTTTAATATTGGTTAATACATCCATGTATTAATTAATATTTGTAATAGATTTTATAAAAAATAAAATTTTTACAATGTTTAATTTAAATATGATTAATAGTTAGAATTTTGTAAATATCCATATAAACATTATTGTTTAAATTATCATTTCATTTAATTAAATTTATATATATTAATTAAAATGAAACATAGGAATTGCAAGTATTATTGTTAAAAAATGAAATTATAAAATAGATACAATGAGTTGTAATTTACACTATAAATAATATTTTGTGCAAGTAATATTTCGGAAATACATCCATATTTAAAATCATATTTTTATTTCAGATTTTGTACATAAAAGAAATTATGTACTTTTATAAAGACGACAATGAATTAGAATAGTAGGTGGTTCTTCTCTTACACATGATTGTTTAGAAAAAAATGAGCGAATGAACACATAAATTAATACATTTTTTTAATGTTATAAGATATTTTTGATATTATATTTAAATGATTATACTCGTTTTTGTCTATTAATGAGAAAGATTTTATAATTGTATTTTACTTTCTCATGAAACTTATTATTTATTATTCACTTGAATCATTTGTAAAAGTTTGTGTAATCTAGAATGTGTATAAAAGTCTATGGATAAAATAAAAATATTTGCTTTGTTTTCATTAATTTGTAAAAAATAACAACCTCTCAAGCATCAGTTATTTATAATATACAAAAATTTTCTTAATTTTGTATTAATTAAATGTTATAAAATAAAAATTGGTAAGTTGAAAATTTCTGTTATTGCTTTTATTAAAATATATAATAATTCGAAGAATTACATGAATTGCTGCATTTTATAAAATAACTTATTCCACTTATTAAATGCATAAAAGTAAAAACTGTTGCTATTAATTTATTGAAGCGTGAAATAATATGATGTCTACTGTAGTGCTTATTAAGAAAGGTGTAAAAGAAAGATGTCATGAAAAAACTGACTTTGAAAAATTACGAGAAGATTTAAGACAGGTTAGAATTTTTATTAATTATAAATTAAAATTTCATATGTTAAAACAGTGTTAGTTGAACTAAAAAGTATGTTCAACTGATAAATATATTAATACTCGATATCTTAGAGATGTTTCGTATGCGCGAACAACGTGAAGTGTTATTTAACCAACAGAGATTTGGCTATCTACTGATGTCGACGTTCAAAATAAAATAAAAGATATATTTCATATAGAGTTGAATGAATTAGTAACAAAACAAGATTATAATGTCCTTGAAGTAACAGCTGAACTTATACAAAAGCTAATTGATAACAAAGAGCTAGAAAAACCAATTTCAGAAGGAGGTATGTATAGGAATATATACAATACTACTAAGAATTGTGTAAAAATAATTTGAATTTTTTACTAATTTAAAATTTTTTTTAACGTAATCTGCACAAATTCAGTATAACTTTAAACATTTAAATTATATATCAATATTTAAATTTTGTTCAAACTCAAATTAAATTCAATATATATATATATATATATATATATACTTATATAATTATACCGTTTAATATGAATAGTTATTTAGATGGGAAACTTATCACTTGTTTATAATTTTATAAGATTAACTTTTTTATTTTAGAGAAAATAATTGTCGCAGAATATTTTAAATTTAAAGAAGAAAAAACATCTATGCTATTTAAAGAAGAAAGTTGAAAAAGAAATTTATCATTTATCTATTTCTTCATCTTGTTTCTTAATTTTCTATATGTTATTTATTGACTTGCTATGCTAGTTAGAAATTTTTAATTTATTAGAAGTTTTTTTATTATTTTTATTATTTATTTGTTTATTATTATTTTTTAAAATTTTTATTATCTGATTTATTATCTACAATTCTTATTTTATACTTATTAAAGAAATTTAAAAATTATTTAGTTAAGTTAATTTTGTTTAAGTAATTATTTAAATTGGTAAATTGAAAATATATTTTTTCCCATATGTATATAAAATTTTTACATAAAATTTATAGTGTACAACAATTATTAAAATAAGAATTGAACAGAAATTTATTAAGAATTGGATATTTTTATTTGAATATACTTCAGTTTGGGTTACACTTTTAGATAATAAATTTAATTTATAAATTTACAATTTCAATGATTTTAATTGCTAAATTATGATATATTTTAAATCTGTGAAAAACTATATATAAAGTATACTATATTAGAAATATATTTTTATAGATATATAAATAATAATGATTTTGTTTATTTAAGTATAAGATACTTTAATCAATAAAAAATATTATTAATTATGAAAAGTAGCCCTTTTAAATATAAAAAAATTAAATATATAAAAATTAATTTCTTTATAATTGTTGAACTTACTTTCATTTATTGTATTTTTGAGGTGATACTTATTTAAAATTTATAAATACTTTTTTGTCCACCAATTTTTATAAGAGCTTCATTTTGACTAGTTGAAAAAGTGATTTCTATTGATTCGTATGTATTGTATTTGTCATTACAAATCTATTATATATATTTATCAGGATATGCTAATTATATTATCACCAATAGTATCAAATGCAAGTACTGGTAGATTTAATTACAGAAATATCCTAGAATATATACTTTATATTAAAATAAAGTTTATGTAAATAAAGTTTAATTGTAAGTTTTAAATGGATTTGTGTATTAAACTAATTACTTAACATTAAAACATAAGAAAAATTTTTAGCAAAATTAATAATTAATATACAATGAAATGTACGTAAAACACAATGATAAATTATGTTAATATCAAAACGTAATAAGCTTACTAATATTTAAAATGTACCACTTATAAACTTAATTCAATTCATAAGCCAGCTTATACCAATTTGAAATGTATAATTATTTAACATTAGTCATAAGATATTGCAATTAATATAAACTACATTTATCTTTAGGAAGTAAAAATAATATTTTGAAGCAAAAAGTAAATTCCAATAGGTGATTCACTTTTGCTCGTTTTATATAAGTTAGTTATCCTTTAGATTTTTATAATTTAAGTGACATAATATTCAACATTTTCTTCATTTATATTGGTTTATATTTTATAAAATGAAAAATATTTAAATTTTATAAGTATCATTATTAAAAGTTCGATAAATCTAAAAGACAACAATTATTAATTATAAAATCATTTTTAATAATATACATTATATATTTATAATAATTACATATACATACATATATATATATATATATATATATTTAATTATATATATATATTATATTATATATATTTATATAATTATATATATTTATATATATGTAATTATGAAAGAATTATTAATAAACTAATCTAATTTAAAGAAAAAGATGTATCAATCCAATTAAATATATTTTTATAAAGGTTACAAACTGATCAAATATATCTGATATGCAAAAATTCTTTACAGTTAAGACTTTATCTAAAAATAATCCATGTTTTTATATTATCATATACATTGTTTGGATACAAATTTAACATTGTATATCATAGCCAATTATTTTGTTACGTTAAATTCAAATATATATAATTTTAAAAATAAAAATATTTTATAATCGATAACAAAATAAACATAATATTGAAAATGTAGCATCAATCACTTTCAATAATTTTAATTATTTTGCAATGCTTTTTATGAAAATAATAAGAATTGATTAAATTAGCTCCTCCACTATTGTATAAAATTTTTAATATATTGTATGAAACTGGTAATTAAATTATTCAGTGTAATGTATTAAATGAAAATTTACTTATTTCAAACGTATTTGAATAACTTCATAATTTTCGTCTTCTTGTACTAATGATTATTTGTTTTTGTTTTTAACATTACAAAAAAATTTGTGCATATTTATATAATACAATAAAAATAATTTTATGAACGTGAACTTTAAATTATTATGTAATTAAATTAATTTGTAAGTAAGTTGTTAAATATAAAATTTGTATTCAAATAAAAATTAAATATGCATTATGTTTAAGATATTGTTTAAATAGAATTTTGTATATACATATTCTACTATCAGCTAATATGAAGATGAATTTATGTATTTAAATTCTACAGTATCTGTAATGTTTTATCAACATTTAATAACTTTTCATATTATGAAATTCATATTTTTCTTTTGTTTGTTTGCTTGATAATATAAAATTTATAAACATAAATAAATAATAAATGCTCTATTTATATATTACAAATCTGTTTTTAAATAATTTTTATCTGATTACAAATACTAATGTACTGATATTAATATACATTTTTTTACAAGTACTTTAGTTTTTATACATCAAATTTTAGCTATAAATTTCGGAATATATGCAAAGTTACATGAGACAAAGCAATAGTTAACAAATTACAATGTATTGTACCTATTCAATTTGATATAATTATAGAAAAAAAAGAATTGATTTTAACAAACAAATTAGAAATGTTATTATTTTTTGTACAAATTGTATTTTCTTACAACTATATATAATTTTATTTAATCTTTCTTATTCATAAATTTTATATAGAATTTAAAAACATTTCATGCCACCCAAAAAATAATTGCTTATTTTATAATGTAATGTACACATTGATTGAAATCAATTATTGCATTGACTTTCGGCGTTCCTTTTGATTTATAGCTGAAAGGGCTTCCTCTGGTAAACGAGATGGATCATTAAGAATATCAGTGGCTGTACATAAATACCTTAATGAATTGAGAACAGCTGCAATAAAATAATAATATTATATTTTCTTTATATATATATATATATATATATATATTCAGTTGTTTAATTTCCGTTTGTTTGTACTTAATTTATAAAAATGATACATCTGATTATTAATTAAAAATGAATAAATGAATGGTATTTTAAAGTTTAAATATGAATTATTTTATATAAAATAAAGTACTTTTTTGGAATTGTAAAATTGCATTGATCTATACATTAATAATACAAGTAATATAATTCATTTATAAATTCATATTTACATTAAAAAACTATAAAAAATATTTCACAAGAACATTTTTATAAAACATTAATTTTTACTCTACCTGGCCTGAGATCAACCAATGAACAATGCTGTTCAACCCACAGTATTGTTGTTCTATATAAGTCTTCTATACTTGATGTAGATACAGAAGTATTGAAAGATACCATTAAAGGTTCCAACAATATACTAAACTGTTAATTATAATAAGGAAAGTATTAATTATAAAGTCTTTAAATGCTTTCTATTTTGTAAAAAAATTATCAATTTGTCTATATAATTAAAAAAAATCGTATATTCTTAGTAATAAAGGATACAATCCAAAATTTCCAGTTATCTCTTGTTCGCAATCTAACATATTCGTCGAACATTTCCTTCATTTTATTTGTTCTTTGTCTTGAAATTGGAGCTCCAGTGGCAGGTAACATCGCTTGGCAGTTACTAGAACGAACGAAAAATTGTAAATCTTTTAAATATAGTAATGAATTTTGTAGAATTATGTCATATAATAATTCTTAATATTAATAGTCTCATTGATCAAATTTCAGCAATCATTGTATATAAATTTGATCTTCAATATTGTATAAGAATTTCAAGATCTTATTACTCAACGATGTAAATCCATATTCTCACAACAAAAATCCAAGAAAGCGCATGATTTACTCACTTTATAGCCGTATTAAGAGAGTCGACTTGGGAGCGTAGTTTATCCATCTCATCCTTCAATTGGAGTCGCTCAGAGCGTAATAGGCGGATATAGTCAGCACCCTTTTGTAGCATTGCTGCCTTACTCATTTTTGTATTGGGGCTCTGGCTCAGCTGTGGTATTAAGCTATAGAGCATGTCAAAGCCATTTTTTATGTTGTAACGTCGCTTTTGTTCCGCATGTATGTGTCCGACTCTACGCTGCTCTTTGTATTGACCGCGTTCTGGCTCAATCTTCATATAACTGCGATTTGGAGACAGAGGACCACCAATGCTCATGGGGCTGTGTAGAGGACTAAGGCTATGGCCTGAAGAGCTGTAGGTGTTTGAGCTATCTTTAGGCGAGTTAGGGGCATTATTTTTGACTTGCTTGCTTTCCGTCTGAAGGAGTATTTGTTGATTCGAGCTCGCTTGCTGTAAATATATTATAAGGAGCCTTAACTTAATAAACTATCAAAGAGGAATTGTGAAATTAAAAACTAAAATAACTAATACATATTAAAGTAGCATAAACATTTTTATACCTTTTCGTTTGTGTACGTTTTTTTATTTAATAATGTATAAATAAGATAACTAAAAATAAAAATTAAAAATTGATTGTTTATCAAGTAACTAAATAATTAATAATATCTTTATTTATTTATATTTGAGTATATATATTCCACTGTAGTTTATATGAAAGTATGTAAACTAAAAAAATGTGTTTTAAATATGTAACCTTAAGAATACCTATAATTTTATCATGAAAAACTTGAATAATTTTTATTGTATAATCAAATATTATGAAGAAATTAATATGCAGTATAAAGATATGATAATTTTAATAATTTCTTTATCAAATTGATTTTTTTTTTAATTATAAATACGACTGAAAAAACTTTGTTTTTTTTTTATTTTTAATACTTATATAATTCACTATTATATGCGAAATCAAGACCTTAAGTAATTTATGTTTCTTTTTTTTATACAAAATTGAAAATTGAAAATCAAAATTTAATTTAATGTACATATTTGTTTTTATTTTTCAGATATTGTAAAATTAAGCTACATGCTGAAATTTAGTTAATGCATGATTTCTTTGTAAATAATATTAAAGAAAACGTGATAGATTACAGTTTATAATCGTCAAATTTATATTCATAGTCATCAAAGTTGTAAAAATTCTTTAATACAAATTAAACCTTAAAAAATGATTATATTTTAGAAACATATATCATATAGATTTATAATTATACAATAGTGCTAAATCAATACATTATTTATTTTTATAAGAAATAATGAAAAATCTTTATACTATTTTTCGTTTTACAAATTTATTTTTTCTATAGTTTTGGTTTTAAAATATTTTAGAATATTGTTAATAATAAATTAAAATTAAGAAATTCCAATATATCCTTATAAGTACATTAATATTTATAGTAAATATGTATTAGAAATATGATGAAGGTACATCCATGAAAATGTTATACCTGTTGCTGCACCCGATTTTGTACGTTGGCCGTTGTATGTATTGTTTGCACTGTCACGGGTGCGGTAATGTGATGAGTGGTATTAGTCATCTGTAATCCAGGCAATTGCGTTGATGGAAGCATTGGCAAAATGTGCTTAACGCTTACAACTGGCTGTGTAACGATTTTTTCGGATCTCGAGTTCATTGTATACAAATTTGATGTGCCTAAAAATTATTATTTGAGATTTAATATTAATAGAATATTCAATATTAATCCAATTTAACTTTAATTATCTCTTACTATTTTTGAGTAAATTAGCTAGAAGAACATTGCTGTTCAGATTCAGGGCCGGATCGCTTATAGCGGAGATTAATGAGGGTGGGTGCATTCTGGGCGCTAACACCGATGAACTACTCCGAGATCTATTTCTTAGTTTCATTTGATACTAAAATGAGAAGTTTGAATGTTAAATTGATAATATATGTTCCATCAATTTTATATTGTTATGTTCTACTTATTAATATTCATATTTGTATTAAATTTGTTTCATGATGATTTATGAAATAATTTAAGGATAAAATAATTACAGTTTAATAATTATATATATATATATATATAATATATATGTGTGTGTGTGTGTGTAATACGTTTTTAACGTTACTTTTTATTTAAAAAACGTTAAATGTTGTATAATAAAATGCATTAGTTAGAAATTGTTCCTGATGTAAAAAACATGGAAAAATGACATTACTTGAATTAATAAAGAATACTTGACTTTCAACCAAAGTTATTTAAAGGGATATTGAAAAAACTTGATAATAAATAAATGCAAACATAATTATCATATAGCGATTTAATTTTTATCAAATATAACGAATAATAAAATAGTTTTTAGATTTCTAAATAGGTTAAATAACCTACAAAATCAATTAACTGTTAAACTGTTTTCATTTAAGTATAAATCACGAAGTATATATTCATACATTAATATCAATGTTTCTAGCTAAAAGTCGATGCACAAATCAACTTGCGATCTAAAAATGAGGCACTAGATTTAGTAATATCTAATTTAATAGATGCAGAAAATTTTGCAAACTCGGCATGAGATGATCAGAAGAGAGGATAGGATCATAGAGTGATCGGGGAGGAAGAGGGACAGAGAGAAAGAGAGAAAGAAGGGATGTAAAAAATGAACGGACTTTTGGTACGGCAAAGATCTCCTCCTTATTGTTGACGGATGACGCGGTAGCTGCGGGAATGGGAGCCGTACTGAATCGCGGCCGCAACTTCGTCGGATGGAGGGCTGGTGCCGCGAGGTCAATCTCTGCAGTCTTACATGACACCACTTGTGGCTGTAGCGGTTGCTGGTTCGTGACTGCGAGCACCGACTGGTCCGGTAATGTCTGCGACAAGCCGAACAATACAATGGAGGAATAGCCATTTGAATATAGTAGTTTCTTCTTATTCACCCTGTGTCATTGCACGCAAATACCCCAGAATTTTGCTTGTCTCTTGATCTATCACACAAGTCATTGCACCGGATCCAAGTTTTTAAACCAGCGGCTGTTAAAGCTCGCTCGGGATCGTTTCTTACCTCTTCGTCATCATTTCCTTCACAGTTATTGTTGTGAATCATTAATATGAAAGATTGCTTTTAATATGCATCGATAACATTTTACTCCTCACATTTCTAAGTAAGATCACTTTTCATTTATTGAAACTTTTGTATAATTCTTTATACAAATACGTCTTTATACAAAATTTATTATTAAATGTAAAGTTTGCAATTACAAAAATGTCTTATTTTTTAAATACTAAAAAAAATTGATATTTTTAGTTCATCATTTTATAGTTTTTAATGTGATAAAAAATAACACATAATAAGATTACTATATATTATTTTAAAGTGAAATGTTTGTTTAAAAATTAGCATTCATAAATATTTTTTATAAATGCTTTAATATTTTTAACTATTTTAAAGCCTTACATTAAGATTCTATTTTTTCAGACTTGTATTTGTAATTTACATGTTCGTAATTAATGTACAGTAAATAAAAATTTCAATTTTGCTTTGAAATGAATGTAATAAAATTTTAATACTTAACTATTATCTAAAATAAAAAAAACTTTTTTTTGAGCCTCTAAATAAAAGGACTTTCAATATCAGTCCTATTTAAATTATTTATTTATGAGCATGTATTAAATTTTATAATAAATGATGAAGATATCAATAATTTTAAAATGATTTAAATTTAAAATAAACATTTTTAATTAATTTAATTATATTTATTCAACAAAGTAATTATTTTCTATGTTTAGTTGTTTATTATTACAATATTTCAGACAATAATTTTTTAAGATTTATTTATATAGTTTCTTTTTTAAATTAAAAGGAAATACATTATTCTAAAAAAAAGATAAATTATTCAAATATCAAACATCATTGATTTTAGTACAATTATTAAAAAGTTGTAAAAATAGATTTTTTCAATAAGTTTTAAAATTATTGATGATAATTATAAAGTTTTCAATTTCTAGTTCACTAGTAGTATACATTTGTAAAACCAATACTATTATAACGAAAACAGTAAAAAATTGTAAAATAGTATTTAAGAAGATAGAAGTATAAATTAGAAAAGATGTTATTTATAAAAAATGTATTGTAAATTATAATTACCATACATTACCTTAATATTATTACTGGTAAACTTGCATTGTTGAGTATCGAAAGTCGACATCGGTGATGGAAATTTATAACTCTGATTTGCAATGTTAATATATGGCTTCGTTGATATGATCGATTGAATTTGCTTTTGAGTTTGCTGAGAGAGCTGCTGTTGTTGTTGCTGTTCTTCTTGTTGCTGCTGTTGTTGATGTGCGATCAATGTTTGAACATGCTGATTTGACGAGTTGGGTATAACAAGTTGCAATTGCTCGGATGTATTCGTTTGAATATCCATTGTATAATCTTGCGATACTTGATAAGGTGAATGTTGCGTCTGTTGTTGCGTTGCATTTGTTTGGTAAGTTTGTTGTTGCTGTTGTTGCTGTGAAGCTATTCGAGATGAACGTAAGGAGGATCTACTTTGATGCATTTGTTTTTCCCTGATTGGCCGGATAATTTGTATTTGCTGCTCGTGATTTTGCTGGTTGAGAATATTGAAGTTTTCACTTACTTCGCTAAAAAATAAAAAATAATTTTTTTATTAAAATTTTGATCATCAATCTTTCGAATAAATAATACAAATGGCTGTAAAAATTTTTGTTAATTGCATAAAAAATATCCTTTATCTTTATAAAGTTTATTTTAAAAGATATTTTAGATTTTCAAATAATTGATATTGTGTGAAAAATTTACTATTTAATTCCAAACTAATATTCCAATATTATTTACGTTAAATTACACATATCACGATTTTTTTAGTAATAGATAAAATTGTAACTTATTCACAACCTCTAAAATATTCAATGGCTAGTTTCTGTCTGAGAATATGGTATTTTAATTTCGCCTCAAAATTCCTTAATGATAACTTAAAAATCAATTTTATATACATTTATAAACATGAAGTTATGCATGATCTTATTATTTTAAACACTGATATCTAATAATATAGGTTTCTTAACGTACATGAATATACAATCGCATATATTGTAGTGTATATTTGGTAATAATTCGTATATGAAAAGAATAAACTCAATTTTATATTATTTGGTATTTTGTCTTCTATATATAATCTAGATATAATATATTTATTTATATATAAATACGATATTTCTCTGAAATAGATGTCGATAATAAAATTAATATAATGTAATTTTCAATAATTTTATAAACACACACACATATTAATAAATTTGCTTTTAACGAAATATACAATTTGAATCTATATCCATAATTTGCGACATCCTTATTTTACATACATTTTCATTAGTAATTAATTTTGTTCAATTAAAAAAAATGTTCTTGAAAAAATGTATTATTAGTTAGTATACATAATTTATATAATATACCTATTATATTTTTAGTATTAATTCGATACATATTGAGAATTAATTTATATTATCTCAACTTTAAAAAATGTTATATTTATAGGATATATGATATAATGTATTTTTATACGTATAATATTTAGTATAAAATTATCGAACTATTCATATATTATGTAAAAATAATTTAAGAGCATGAATAACTATGTGAACAAATTAACAAATTGTGTAATGTATGTATTTATTTGAATGAAATTGTAATTTATGTAATCTCATTAGCAAAATCTTAAAAGTGTATTCCATTATCCATGTTTTTGAATAAATACATATTTGTTTATATAATTATTAAATTTGTAATAGTTTGATTGTGTCAATAAATGAAAATAATAAGTACAAAATGTAATTTACTTACACGTTGTTTCTGAACACACCTATGGTATCTTGCTCTGGTTCCGTGAAGATTTTGCCAGCATATTGATGATTTTGCAGAGTTGTTGTCTGATCGTTCATGTGTACGGGGTGAGTGTTAGGAATAACAGGCATAATCGACGTTTCGGTCATGTTATTCATTTCATTCAACGGTACAATAAGATCAAGCTCCGGGTAGTTGTTGAGTGAAGCGTTATGAAAGACATCCTCTTCTGGTACTGGTGGAAGTCGCGAACTTAAAAATTCTAAAACATATGTACATACTATATTTTATTTAATAATAATAATTTTTCGCGGTTATTTATTCAAATTTAAGATTAACTATTTTATTATTTTTAATATTAAAGTCCAGCCTTATAACACGTAAATCAATATACACGAGTCAGTCAATTACCATTTTTAGACGTTTTTTATTTTTATGTAATTAGTTATCTAATAATTTTGAATGGAATGATGAATATAGAAAACATAATGATCAAATTTTTAAAAATCAAATTGTTGTAATGATCAACTTGTTTAAATTTTTTAAAAAATCTATTAATGGAATATAATTGAAACAGTTAACGAATTCTTTTGAATATACGGTTAATATATTAATATAAATTATATCAACTAAAATAAATTTGAAACTAAGATAAGATGCTACTTAATACTAAAATAAAATCACAGTATTTATTTACAATATGTCTGTATATGCATACATAATACATACATACATAAATGTGCATATATACTATTAATATAAATATTATGTATAATACAGTTTCAATAGTTAAAAATAAATTTATAAATAAACGATTATTCTACAGAATACAAATAATTATTTGATTTAGAAAAAAATTCTTATTTAATAACGCAGCAAAAGAAAAAACAATTTCATAAATAATAGTATTATTTACCATTTGATACATTATATCAAATTTAAGATAAGATATACATATCAAAGATATATTGATTTATTGTATTTATAAATTGTAGTTATAAAAGTTTTCAATATCATTACCTTGAAAGGGTTCTAGAGTGTCTATAAAATCTTCTAAGTTCGGTTGTAACGGTCCTAAACTAGGTTGAATAAAATCGGCTAAATTAGCTCCCCGAGCTAAAACCAAAATCAAAATTATTGTTATAGTGTTCGAAAATGTTAGTGAAGTATTTAAAAAAAACGAAACGTTATATAAATGAAATACAAAATTAAACTGTTCGGAAAAGAAGGCAACTTACCGATTTCACGGGGATCGGGAAAATATAACGGCTGATTGCAGCTGATTGTGGAAAAAAGTGTGTCGGTCATGAGTTCCATATAATCTTCATCAACCATCATATTGTGTACACCATCGCCACTTGGTATGACACTTACGCCATTGCATGAGCTTTCCACACCTATCCCGTACATGTCCGAACTTCCAATGTCTCCACCCCATTCCAATGTATCCATAGACTCCAGCTAAGAAATTACGTTTAAGTATTTAATCACTTCCTGGAGTCAATACAGGTAAAACAAAAAATCATTATAAAAAAATGATAAAGAATGCTATGCTTAACTAAACCTTTTTGTACAATTTTTATTGTATTGTATAAGATGAAAATTTTAATGATTTATATGTTATAGAAAATTTGTAGATAAAAATAGCAATTAGAAAGCTTTTATTATTTTACACGCATTATTAAAATTATTATTACCAGTCGCTCTTTTTTAAATAATTATTAAATATTAATCTGAATTTTGATAAATATTAAAAAGCTATTAAGACTTATAGTTCAGTAATCGTTAGAGAAAACAATTAAAAATTTGTGGGAAATATAAATTTATATGATTTAAAAAAATATATGTAAAATAAAGATGTATAAAATTATAATTTAGCTGAAATATAAAAAAAATTTATTTCAGTTAAAACAAATCCGTAAATGTCCTGAAATATAGTATATATAAAAACAAATTTATAGAATATTTATAATACATATCTAAAATCTATAATAGGTTCAAAACAGTAGTGCACTTAAAATATTTAAAGTAAAATATTTTTTACACTAATAGATTGGTAATATTTTCAGGTTTCAAAAGAATTTGAAAAAAAATAAGTATTAGTAGTGACATACCTATATATTATAATTTTAAATAATTTAATGAGTAAATGGTTTTTACTAATTATAAAAAAATATACATTTTTAAACGATGTAGATCATATATTTTAATTATATATTTATTGATAAATTGACACATAAGAATCAATCGTAAGAAACAATTTAGTAATACATCATTTACTAATACAAATAGAATTGTTAGACAAATAGTAACAATGTTATACATACCAAATTGTTTCCATCTTTGTTTGTCCAGCCAAGGATTTTGTTTCGGTAAAACATACGCCATTTCTTGTACTCAGCCGTTACAGCCGCGAGTTTTCGTTTCCAATATTTACCTTCCAAAACAACTGCCTGGTATTGTAAAAAAAACGATAGGTTAGTTTCAATTTTTACAATATAAAAATATACTTTTCTTATTTCTATTTTTTAATTAAATCTCGAACTTTCACATTATCCTGATTGAAGATAAAATTCTTTGCTGCTACTATGTAAAATATCGAATTATGTCAATTGTGATGTTAATTACACGCATAAGAAATAAAAAATATTCACAAACTAAATATACATTTTTTTATACACAATATAATACTTAGTATCATTGATTCTTCTCATAAAATTGTAGATGCTTCTTACCTCAGGTTTGTTATGCGTGTCTACATCAAGCGGAGATGCGAATTGACACACTAATGTGTTTTGCTTCAGTATAACTGCAAATAGTAGAGGTAAAAATGTTCAACAGACAGAAAGTTGCTTTTATGTCTAATTTGATTTAAATTCCTGATGAGAGTAATAATTTTCATCTCACTGACAATGATCGTGATTTATAACAATTGTAATGATATTTTACATTGCATAAAAATTGAATTAGTTTAGAATATGATGTAAATAAAATTTTTAGATATTATTTTATAAACAAGCGAATGCAACTAATAATTTTAATCGAATTATAACAACAAATAAAGATTTGAGCTTTTTATATCTTCATGGTCCTTTCTAAGATTCGAATGCTGAACATACTGGAATTTCAAAATTCGATCATTTTCATATTATATAATTAAATTAGCAAAATTGATTTATCTTGTTTTAATATACCGGAGACATGAAGATTTTGTAATATACACACACATGCTTGTGATATATATTAATGTATCAACGGTAAAATGAGGTATATGGGTAAATAAATTTTGCTCAAATCAAAACAATATTAATATAGGTTGTAACACTCTCTTCTATTTAACAATGAAATTCATTTTCAATTGCATTGAATTAAACATAATTTTCTATTATTTGTTTTTAAGTAAAGAAGTAATAAATAAATCATTGAGCGCATTAATATTTTTTCTACCCATCACTGATCATGAACAAATAAAAAGACATTACTTTTATATGAATACAAGTGACCGGACTCTCATTTAACTATCATCCCGTTGTGACTTTGCTATCTTAGTTCTAAAATAACCATTTCATAAAGCATATAGCTGCTTATTCACATTAAAATATTCTACTCGTTCCTTTTATCACCTTCGGTTACTTTGATATTTATTTACCTCATTTAAGGTTAAATATAAAATATTTATAAAAAGGATGATCTACGGAGGTGTTAAAATTTTATAAAGTTCAATAATGATTACCTTTACTTGTAAATACTGATAGTAAAAATGAATAATATAATATTGATAAACTAAAATAGAGTAATAGTGTAATATATATATATTGGCGGATGCAAGAAAATTTAAATAATATATCGATGTCGCTTATTTAAAAGTTTATATTCATATTATAGCAAAAAAAAAGAAAATAAAAAAATACAACCATAATAAATAATTGTACCAATATAATAATTATAGTATAATTTTATAAATGTATCTTTAGCTATTAAAATAAAATAAAATCTTTGAATACAAGATACATCTGATGGTAAATATATACATTGGGAAGAAATTTGATTAATGATCGAATGCAAGCTATCTTTAATGCTGAATACACATAAAATTCATACAAAATGAAAACTATATAAAAATAGCTTAGTAAATTCATCATAATTGCAAATAATAAATATTACTATACTATTATAAATATTATATAAATTTATGTAAGAACAACCGGTTGACAACAAACGCTCGTCCGTCTTCAGCTAACTTCGTGAGACCAGCGCTTTGAAGACAATAACAATATCGTGAAAACAATGTAGCTGCTTTCGAAGTACTTGAAAGAGTAACATGTCTGAACCAAATATTTGTCTTGGCAGTGATTAAATGGCTCACGAAAAGTCTAACTTTCTCTTTCGATTACCTATAAAGTAATAAGTGGAACAAGAATTTTTTCTCAACTCTGTATTCAAATTTATTTCTGACACACAAGAATTGTCAATTTTACACACAAGAAAAATGTCAATTACGTTTATAATTAATTGTAGAAACTGAATTATTTGGACAAAAACTATTTTGTAATTATGTGTAGTAAAAATAATTGATCGTTAATATTAATACTCTGGTAGATATTTTCAAAAAATATACGTATATTTTATTTTGAAATATACATACCTGAACTTATTTCAATAAAATAATATATTACGTAAATTATTAATATATTTATTATATATTTTATCATTCTATAATTTTGTATAGATGTTAATTTAGTTAATGCTAATAATATCCAATTATTTCAATAACTATTTTCTAATGGGAGTTTAAGAACCATTAGAATATAATGTAAATTTTATAATACTCAAGAATAAATTGAAAATAACTCCAGTGCTGTTACTAACACATAAATCAAAATACTTTTAAAATTAAATTTATTTAATATAATAAATTACAATTAATATAATGAGTGACAGTATTCGTGACAGTACAATACAACCATAGAAAAACACAACAAAGTTACATAATAATTAATAGAATACATTAATTACAAGCACAATTTTTGATAATATTTTTTTTAATTACATATGAACTAAATAATGTGGTACTGACATTTATACTTGCATATCTTTTTATCACTTTGTATTTATGAGTTATTAAAATGTAATTTTATAGCTATATTAATTATATTTTACATAAACAAACAATGAAAAATATATAAGAGTAAAAACAGGTAAAAAGTTGAATATTGAAAGAAATTGTCAATAAGTGTTAATAAGAAAATATTACGTAATTAATTTATAATTTCATCTATTTCTGAAAGACGTTCCATTTATTAATTCTTTAAATTAACCAATAAAAATAAAATATAATTTTAACAATTACATAATTATTGATTTCATTAAAAAAAGTTAAAAGAAAAATAGATGGTAATTCTTTTTCTCTATAGAAATATCAAATATTAAATTCTGAACACATTTAAAAAGTAACTATTAAAACATAATATCGGATTTACATAAACGAAATATTTTACGATTTATGTATTCTGAAATTAAATTATGTTCTTTTATATCTATGTCTAGTTTAATAATAAAAAATGATTTTACAAAAATCAGCGATTACATATAATAACTACATAAATATAAATATAAAATATGTGTGACTGCTCATGTAATATATGTAGATATATATGCGTGCGCGCGCAAACACACACACACAAAACACAATAAAGTGACAATAATTTTTAAATATAAAAAATATAAGTTGTTATAAATTCATGACCAATTATATATTTTATAAACCGGATTAAATCCTTATTGCATACAAATATCTACATTACTTTTTGGCGATTAGATAAAAATTATTATATAAGAAATTTCTTTCTATAAAATCTTTTAACATTCAAAGTAATTAATAAAATTATAAATATTAACTAATTATAAATAGAAATAATTAATATAAAGAAAAAATAATCGAAGGAAAGATAAATGTATAGAGTATAAATATGTAATTTAATTTTTTTAATTAATTTAAATCAAATTTGATTCTCTTCATAAAATTTATTTTTATTTTATCTTAATTTAGACCATAAAAATTTTTTTAAATAAAACAGTATAAATTAAACATGATAAGAAATAAGTATATTTTCTATCGGACAGTAGCAATACAATTATTGATTTACTATTTTAAGAATAATAGTCTTTGTTTTACATTATGTGGTAGTTCCTAAGTATTCTTTATGAATATATTCCTTATCTAGAAAAAATTTATATATTTCTTTTTATACGATGTTACTTAGGTAAAAATATTACAATGTATTTTTATGAAAAAATTATGAAATATTTTTATGAAATGTCGTCATTTACAATGAAATATGAAAATAAAGAACTGAAGTAAAAGTATATATTATTTCAATATTTCCTGTAATTATAAAAATATTGTTTACATATTTGAAAATTAATTTTTGCTACTTAGATTATTAAGGACAATTAATGATTATGATAAAAAAATTTTTTTCCTGATTATTTTCTAGTAAGATTTTCTTAATTTAGTTAAAAAAAATTAATCTATATAATTACCGTTTTTTCAATAAACTAAATTACAATCTAAAAATATTCGTTTTAGGAAAATAGTTCAAATTGTTATAATGCATATAAGAAAACTAACAATTTTTTTATTTTAAAATTTTAAAAAGTCAATTTACTTTTGAAGAAACACAATTTCCAAAAAGAACGAACTATTTTATTCAATTATTTCTAATAAGATATACTTTTATTATTAATTTGCATTAATATTTTTTGTAATGCTAAAATGACTATAATTTATTGATTTAGCTTTATTCAATGACATTATACTTCTCTAATTATTATTATAATAAATATATGAAATTGTTTGTTTTTAACTTACTTTTAGACGTTTTATATTTAATTTTAAATATCTCGATTTGATAATTATTTTTTATTTTCAAATTGCTTTTTTGGAATGTATAATTACTACCTTGCTAAAATAAAATTTTTATACCTTTAGTAATTGCGAAAAAAATGATATCAATATTATTAATGGCTCCTTAATTAACATAAATTATTTATTTGAAAAAAATAAACTTTTACAGTACAAATAGATACCGCAAGGAGTGGAAGAAAATTTGTATTAAAAATATATTAAAGAATGAGTGAAGTCCGAAATATAATTAAAAGTAAATTGAAAGTATTTAATGATTGGATTATATAAAAAAAATATTTAAAGATGTTTTTAAGTTACAAATTTTAATGTTTCATCACATTTATTTTTTCATCAAGATGTGAGTAGCAACTTATAATCTATTGTTATTTAATGTATGTTGAGGTGGTATAATTACAGAATGATGCCTAAGGGTCCAAGTTTGCATCGGCAGAAACTTGCTTAAAATTCGTAGTCAATGACTAACAGGAAATTAATGTGGTGGTGGAATGATCAAAGGATAAAGGGGAAAAAGTCTGAAAACGCACCAACGTTAATTATAGTTTGAAAGATTAATGGAATCAGCTATTGCCACTTAGTGGCTTGCATGATCCCTCACCCCACCCGAGGACACTCACATTGCATGTGCCAGCATCTCCAGATGACGTTGTTTAGTCGTATTTTATCCTTCCATCTCAACCGGATCCCTTTAAAGCGGTTCCATTTAGGCGATGTCAACTTCTGTCTGGAACAAATTAAAAAATTTATGTTTTAACTTGAATCTTCTAATATAAAATATTTTATAATTTGATTAATTACTTAACAAATTGTAATGCTTAATTTTGTTTTCTCTAATCTTACAATATTAGTTTTGTTGTAATTATCGATTAATTCTATTATTGTAACTACATAGCCATTTGATCCTATTATTATTAACGCTATTCCAAACAACTAATGCAAATATTTGCGAAATGGCGAAACATAAATTTTTTAATTTGCTGTCTAAGTAGCTAGTTAGAATATATATCATATATTTTTGGACTATGAAAATTGGTATTTGGTAATAAGTTCTTAGGAAATAATTTTGATCAAATATAATGTTTGAATTCCCATTGCATAGGATTAATTTTTATAAACATCGATTATACAATACAATATAATAGAATTTTATTATTAATTTTAAATTATAGTGAATAATAGTAAATGATATTTTTGAAGATAAATTTTAATTAAAATTTACATATATGTAAATAAACATCTTCATGTATGTATATATACAAATTATTGTGTAGATATAGTGATTCAAATAGGTGCTTCACATATATTCGTTTCATTTCCAAATCATTAATGAACTACATATAGATTTATTGTATAGTTTCATATATTCACAAAATATATTACAAATTTACAAATCAAATTTGCAAGAAATATTAAAAAAAACAACAATATTTTTTCCCGGTTCAACACTTTTTCAATGAGAAGATTTAATTACAGAAGTAGGATTTAACAAATTGAACGATGAAAAAAAATCCTTTTGTATATGATACATATTATAACGTCTGAAGCAAGAAAACAATCGGTCGCTTAATTATTTAAACAATAAACTGAATTAATTAAATTATGATTGTATAATATATAAAATATTATATATACAAATAGTATTTATAATATGTGATCATATTTTTTTATACATTAAGATGATTGTAATATTAAAAAAAAATGTTTATTTAGTATACAAATTTTATTTTAAATGCTAATACTTAATACAGTGATTAAATTCTCATATTCTTAAAATTCATTCATTGAGAAAATTTAGCTTTACCTAATAATCTGTGTAATAGCACAAATGATTTCTGTGCTAATGTTTTCATTTCATTCATTCCTAATGTTAATATAGGTTTTCATATAGTAATTCTTCTTATAGAATATGTAAATCATAATTGATTCCTTTAATTTATATAAGTGAACCTAAATATTTTTTTTTTGTACGTTTATACATTACATATATTTTCTTTTCATAATTATATGCTGAGAAATAGAAGAAAACTTTCTTTTAATAACTTGATAATTTTAATACATTAATACATCAATATAATTTACACATCATAAATTAAATATTATAGGTTGAAATAGTAAATATAAACATTTCTTTTCATTATGAATTATTTATTTAATCATAAATTAATTTAATTATACACTAAAAATGAAATCGTTTTTCTATTTGTATTTTTTATTATAAATAACATAAATATAACATATATTTAATTTCTATGTACGTTGCTGCATTTGGAAATTAAAAATATATAATATAAGGTATTCTATTCATTAAATAAGTTCAATCAATAAATATTTTTCAATAATAATTCGTTCACGTAAAGTAATACTTAAAAATATAAAATACCTTTTTATATTGACCATGAAAACCATCATTATGAATTTATTTAAGTATTTCAGAAGGTATATTTTATTATTTTAAATGCTGATAAAATAAATCATTGCTGCATAGTAAAAACAATTATTTTGATAATGACTATAATACGTTTATAATATATCTTTTTAAATAAGTAATAAGTAAAATATGTAAACCTGACTATAGTATTATCTTGTAAATCTTATTATTGTTTTCCTTGTTTTGCATACAAAACAAATCTTTTTATGAAACATTTAATATTGTCATATTATAATACTATGAAAAGTAGACTACTTATAAATTATTCGTATTTATGGTTACTTACAGTTATGCTTAAGTTAATTGTATATAAGTCTTAATAATATTACTATATTTATTAATCCGGCAAGTACCTAAATAAATTAAATCGCGTTTATATAATATTTATAAGCTCTTAAGAATATTTATATTTTTTACTATATATAGAACAGTTGAAGAAAATTGTATAAAATTTTATATTTTATATTGAATATTTGATTATATTTATATGATCAAGTCTCATGATTATCTTAAGTTCAATTATCTATCACATATATTATGTTCTGTTAGGTGTATTTATGAAATCTAATAGCATAATAAACAAAGTTTAATCTAATATATACAACTACGTATAAATGCTTCTAGGATAATAATATTTTTGGAAAAAATATAAAGCATTATTAAAACTGAATTCTTTAAAAAATTTGATAGTATATATAAAATACTTATTTTTTACGTACACAAAATATTAAAAATAGTACTAAATATTTCTTATAAAATTTTGATTATTGTTTATAATATAAGAACATATATAAAAATGCAAATTACTTTACTATATAAATTATATTTATATATATATATATATATATATATTTTTATTATAAACGTTCGCATACACATACAGAATACGGTTTTATATACATATAAGTAGTTTTATAGAATTGTTTTTTTATTAAGAGTTTTATAATTTGATGAATAATCATCAAACAATTTTTTCATTATATCTTGTTGTGCAATTGAAAAGAATTTTATCTACTAACAAAAGATCAATAGCTTTTCAAAATTACAAATATCTAAAGGATATAATATATTATTTTAAAATAATAAAACGGTGCTTACATAAAATATTCAAATTTTAAATAAGTAATCCTCGATATTTCATATAATTTATTTAGTTTAGTAGGAATTATTCTACATTAATTAATTTGTCTTTTATACAACTTTCTACTCGTATAGCTCTAATATGGATAGATCATCTAGTCTAATTGACACAAAGACTCTACTACATTTCGTGGATTTTAATAAATATAAAGCAGTGGCCAAACTACAAGAGTAAGACTGTTTTCAAAACGTTTCTTAATTTATTACAAGCATAATGATCTGGTGTCCTACTTATTTGAATTTATTACATATTTCTTTTCGAAAAATTCATTTTTACTTATGTTATATATTCTATAATACTATTTTATCATGTACTTGATAACAATATATAAACAAAACTAATAATAAAATAATATAATAAAATAATATATCCAATAAATAATAGGGCTAGTATTTACAACAAATTTATAATATTTATTACTACTTATAAAATTTTATTAATAATAGAATTATAAATTTAAAATACATAAATAATTTATTTTATGAGATATAAAAAAGTATAATGAATTTTTAGATAATATATTTTGTTATGATTTAGGTTTATATACTTGGATTTCATATTTTCTTTACTTTTTATAATTATATAATTATAATCCAATATTAAACATGTATTTAAACATAATAATTCATAATTAATTATAAGAATACGTAATGTATATAATAGTAGTAGGCATTTTCTTAACGAAAAAATTTCTTTGGTAGTGTCATTTCTTGAATCAGGTTTTTTTATGTAGTGAGATTTTTTAACATTTTTTTTAATATAATGCTATATAAATAAAACATATATACTTGGTGACAATACGACTTTCCTTAAAAAGTAGTGATTCATGTTTCAGAAATGATATCGATGAAAACAGTTTAAACTGTTTTATTTTATAACTTTATTATTAACAAAAATATAAGAAATTTAAATAATGTAAAAAAAAGTAATAATGATAAATAATTAGTTATTATTTTATTCAGTTAAAAAGTATCGTTTTTAAAATATCAATATATTAGAATATATTAGAAAATGTGTATTTATTTGACTTTAAATAAATAATTAAACTAATTGTGCATATTTGATGAATATTCTTATCTGATTTTACGGTATTCCATATTTATTGAATTCTGAAATAAATATAAATATTTAATTAATAATTAAATAAAGCTAAAAATTATATAGTGCTAAACTGTATCTTTGTTATTTAAATATTAACAATATGGATAAAATTGATAGTTAAAATTATTTTAAATCAATTTAGAATAATGTTCATATATGAAAATAAAAATGTATTCATCTTTATTTTTGAAATTTAACATATTTAAACAGAAAAAGTATAACAGAAAATTATTCATTCCCTTTAATATTTTTAATAAGAATAAAAGTAAATCTTATCAGGCTTATGTGTTTCAATTAATCAATATAACTTCAACAAAATTAATGTTAAAATTTTATAGATTTGACATTTCACAACGATTGCTAATATTTATAATATCGCATATTTAAACACAGAAGGTCTCAGTTTCATTCATTAAATGTTTTTATAAATTTTACATTGTCTTTTATAAAACAAAATGATCATAAAAAAACACTAAGGTAAAAAACTACTTACATTACATGTAAGCAATTGTAGATCAGAAGTAAAAAACATTTATGTAGAGTTTAACATTTTTATCTTCTTTTACCTAATTGAATTCTACATATATTTGTGCTTTTATATATATGATTTCCAAACTTTATAAGTATAGGCATAGCATCTAAACAAATATTTTCTTGGTGAAGAAATATATAATATATGCCCTATTAAATATAAAATCGAGTAGTATTAAACATATTCAATAATCGTTTATATTCATATATTGTTGAGTCTGATACATAATTTGTGTTCCAAAATTAATTATTATATGATATTTACCTTGAATTCCTTTTTTATTTTTTTATTGACTTGTTATTTTTAATGCGGCTGATTAGAGCTTATCTAACAGTACCATTACTTGTATAAGTTCGACTTCATTGCAATATTAAAAGTAATTTTTTAATTTCATTTTTTATAATTTTATATTGATAATTATATATTATACACATTGAATCTTCAATATAATCACGAAATAATAAATTTATCTATATATACAACTTAGATAATAAATTAACTGAGACAATTTATAACATTTAATATAAGACTAACTCGATATATCAAAACATAAAATGTTATTATCGGATTCAGATTTATACGACTTTAAAACGAAATTCCAGGCATTCGTTTTCTTTTACATGAATATAGCAATGTTATTCGTGATTACAGGATAATAATTTTTAAACAATCCTCTCAAGAAATGATCTAGTCACCTGTAGGCCAGCGACATACACTGGAAAAGCTTGTTGAGTGATGTTTCAATGCTGAGTTGCTGGGAGTTCTCGAGGGCTGAACTTGTGACAAAACGTTCAAAGGAGAAGTCAATGGGACCAATAATGGCTAGACGGGCTATTTCATCGTCGGGTACGGGCACCGCAAGCTCATCCTCATCATCCTGGGCTTCGGCCTCGAAATCCGACACCATGAAATGTCCGGAGTGAATAGTCTCGCGCGAACCGCTACATTCACGTTTTAACCGTGATTGATGGACACTGTCGTTATCTCTCGTATCAATTTGAACCAACTCCTGCCGTGATGTCGTCATGTCCGTGTTTTTACAGTGTATCAGCTCGGCCTGCATTCTCTATGGTTCCCTAAAACCCACGGAAGTTTTACCTCACTACTCCGAACCCGAGGATGTAGAATTTTTTTCAGAATTTTAGTGTTCAATGCCTTACATATGTACATGTTACATATGTACTAATATTCGAATAGTGAATTTACCTTTTCAAATAACTTTTATGAAATTTACTAATATTGAATGTGGAGTTTAATAAAAATTAAAAAATTACAATGAAGAAGGGGGAAGGAGGCACATATAGAGTAAACAATTCTCTTCATTTTAGTATTGTATTAAAGTATTGAGTTTAGATTTATTACAAGAATGCTACTAGTAGTATAAATATTTTTAAAATTTTATATTAATTATTTTTTATTCAGATATATTTATTTTGTATGAAAACATTCGAACAAATAAATCACAAATTTATTGCACTCTATTCTATGTATTTAATATTTTAAAAATAAATTAATGATATCGATTTATAATGTTATTGATAAAATACAGATTTTATATTTTTTTTTAATAAATTTAATCAAAAATATTAGTCTTCGATTCTAACTCACTGAATAATGAAATTTATAAATAGTCTAATTTTTATAATCAAATAGAATGCATAAATAATGTGAGTTTTAAAGATAATTGGACATTTTTAATTTGGTTTTCATAATTAAAATATTTACATAGTTACATAAAGTAAAAGGCATATTTTACATTATAATTAATTTATATATAAATGTTTATTAAATGAAATATTAATATAAATTTTCAATTTAAAATTTTATGTATTTATTTAGAACTTATCAATCTCATAAAAAATTTGATAATTAAAATTCAGTACTTTAACTTTCATAAATTGATTATTTCATAATTAAGAGTAATGCAATTTCTAAATCTTCAATTAATAGTTTTTCTTTCTTATATTTAATCATTATGAATTAATAAAACATAATTATTTTATTCAAATAGTACCATTTAAAAGTAATTATTATACTAAAATAACTTTTAATAAATAAAATTAGAACAAACGTTTTATTATATAATTTTACTAATTAAATATGGTAAAATTGCTGTTTTGTTGGTTTTATAGGTGTTTTTTAATTAATGAATGTTAAAATTGTTAATCTGATTAAAATAGAACGCAAATAGAGATTTAGATATTTACACATTTCTCAAAGGCAATAAAAGTATATTTATGACATTTAACTAAATTTGTAGAAATAAAAATATACATAAGTTTCATAATCTAGAATTTACAGAGCATGATCATTGTTAGTAAATATGATAATTTATTTCCATTTAAAAGTAACTTTCTAAGCTAAATCATTATTATCTCGATCATGTTTATTTACGTATTAATGTATGTATTATACGTATTTATGATTCAAGAGGCCACGCATTCTTGTACAAACAGAAAATAACACGTGCCTTAATACTAAATTGCTAATTTATAACTACAATATTATTTATTAATTGCTTTAAATAATCTTATAATGTACACAAAATAGGCACAGAATTGATATTTAGCTTTGTAGAGCATATCAATCATGTAATGTAAGATAAATTAATTATATTTTACAAATATAATAAATAATTAAAGAGAACCTATTTAATAATTTTTCATGAATTTATAATTAAAAAAGAGACATGTGAAAAAAAATAGTTGCCTCATAAGCTTATTAGATTTTCTACAAACAATAATTACATACTAATTAAAGAACATTTACATTGAGTCAATATTAGTATGTATTCCACTTCTCGTTTAATTAAAACATTTTTTATGATTTCAGAGAATTATATTTTTCTAATGGTGGCTCAAAAATGATAAATATTTAAGAAATTCAAAATACCTAAAAATTATAATATTCACATAACATAAATCAAGATTTTCTTACTAATTACTAAAAATTATGCTTTCATTTTTTAGATTTCTTGATGATTTGATAATGATAAACTAATTTTATGAAGAAAAACACAGAATGCTAATGAATATAATTAAGCTGATCAGCTGCGTAAATTATAAACCATATTCTTAGATATGTTAATTCTTTAATTTTAATCTTTTATAAATTATTTTGAAAAATAGTAATTCATTTTACAGTTAATTCGATGTTTGTTTAGTTTGTCAAATACTTATATTTGTTTTATAAATATCTATCGTATACATTATTAAATAAAATAAAATAAAATAAATTACATTATTAATAATAAATCAAAAGTATTAAGATCATAAAAACTGATAATAAACAGTTTCTATAAAAAAACTGAAATTTAAACAACAACTTCTTTCAGAAAAATTAAATCCATTAGTTGAAAAAGTAAAATTATATAGATAAACGATTAGAGAGTAAATAGTGAATTCGATTTTTTAATTCTTTATCAATATTGATTTACATATATTAAATATAGTATAAAAAATTTGAACTATATAACTTTCCGAATTAACTGGTGAAATATTTAGTGATATATATTTTAAAAATTGATAGCGGTTTTTTATTATATAAATAATAGTCAAATGTTTGATATAAAAAATTGATTTTAACTTTTTAAAGGAAATTTCTATATGATATATAATGCATTTCTACAATTTTTTAAGCTTATAGTGTTATTGATATTTATTAATATTCCTATAATTATTAGATAATATCATAATTTCTTATTTCAAAACTCGTAAACATAATTACAAATATTTGATCATAAATATATCAATTTATCTTATAGTAAAGCCCGTGTCTACAATCGCAAGCATTTACATTCTTGTTAAGTTGTCAGTATTTAGATATATAATGTATAAACAAATATTTTTAATATATATTCAAATTTATTAACAGATTCATATAATTAAAAAAATTCAATATACATTAGTCATGAGTACAAATACAAGAATTCATAAAACTTACATATAGAAGCAAATATTGATTTGAGCAATAATTGTAATTATATTTAAAAAAATTTTTGTAATCATTGATATTTTATTACAAGTGAATTTTAAGCATTGTCAAATTGACTGTTTCTATTTGACTAAATATTAGAAATTCTAAATAATAAAAATCTGCTGAACAACTGTGATGAAGTCAATAATCGATACCCGTACATTAAAATCTCACATGGTGTTGTTATTAGTAATTGAATTTCATTTTTATAATCTATTGAAAATTGATAAAAAAATTGTTAGTAAGCAAAACTAATTATTTAATATTACAATAGTATACATAATTAAAATTAATCTTGATAAACATTTGGCAAGTACATATTATAAGTAATTATAAATAAAATATAGATTGTTGAAGTAAGAAAGTCTCTAGCATGGATTCAACAATATCATGAAAAAAGCACCAACAATAAGAATAGTATGTATTTTAAGTGTAGTTGTAGTCCAATAAATTTCGAAATTTTCAAAAGTAAATTTTGTTATTAAAAGAAATTTATATTTTCAAATGCTAATGTACAATGACAAAATAAAACAATTCCAATGATGTTTTGCCTTTGAATCCAATTGAACAATGAAAAACATTACAGAGATGATAAATTTTATTATTACCAAAAATATTATATTTGACAGTTGTTTTTTAAACATTCAAAAATGATTAAAAATACAGTATGATAAAACTCAAATAAAAATATAACACTGAAAATATATGTTTATTATATTCTGATTACATATATGAATATAATTCACTCGCTTATTAAAAAAAATTAATTTTGATATTTATATAAAATAACAATGGCTTATATTATCAAATATTAAGAAAATAAATTAAATATTTATACCAAATAAGAAAATATGCAAAATCTCATTAAAATATTTGACCTATTATAGTCTAATATTTAATTTTAAAAATCTAATGATAAAATCCGCTTATTTACCGTCTAGTATTATTCTTTCTCCATACTCGTCTTTTCTTCTATTACTTTTTACATATGAATATAATAATTGTGGTTATATATCAAAAATTATTATTCAATTTTTTATTTGCTTACTACATATTAATTGTTGTGACTATTAAAAGCTTTTTTTAATTCAAATTTATCTTTTTAAAATTAGTTATTGCTCTGTAAAAGTAGTTTTGAAAATGTAAATCAAAAGAAATATTTTTATTTTATTGGCATAAGTTATTGTTAGTTGATTTATATTAGCTTTTCGTAGACAATTCTATTTTTCAAAATTTGAAATTTTGGCAATCTTAAATATTTGAAACTTTCGACCACAAAATATTCTCATTGCTTCCTAATTCTATCTGCAGAATTAACTCTAAATTAGACTATGGAGTTCCTCCATATTACACCTACTGTTTATATTACTTTTCGACATTCGATGATTTACTACTATAAAATAATGTTTAATCACATATGAGGTCACTCTGAAACCAACTACAACCAACTGAAATTACCTGTTATTGAAAACATATATTAATTTTATATAAATGTCTCAATAAAAATTTTTACATTCATGTATTAAATAATTAAATGAAGACTATATTTCTTAATCATAGAAGTTTTTGTACTACGAAGTTGGGTATAATTTTATGTTGCATAAATATACATATTTTAATATAATTAAATATATAAAGTTATAAACAATTTATACATATAAGATAAATAAATAATTTAGATATTTTACATTCTATATTTATGTTTTTAAAGCAATATAGTAAACTATAATCTTAAATATCGAATTCATTAATAATTAATTTTACAAATATACGGTTTTATGAAATTCCATTTTTTAGTCAATTGTGTTGATAAATTTGCATGGTAAAAGGTTAGTAATAAATTAAACAAATTCTAATGTGTATCTAACGAAAGTTATTAGATTTTTTCAATCAATATTTTTAAAATTTTAAACTTTATTAAATAATTATTGTGAATTATATGTAATTTTATTAGAAAAAAATTTAATTATAGTTATTTTTCGAAGTATGCGATTCATTATTGTGTAGTCGATAATCGCAAAACTTTCTTCAAGGCGATAAAATATTTAAAACTTATAACTAAAAAGTTCAACACACGTACAATCTTATCAGTCTATGGAATATTATTATACTCCTTGCTATATTAATGTAAAATAATTATTAAGCAGAAAATGGAAATACGCATGCGAGGGATTTTATGTTGAAAAGTGTGTATCAAATCAAAATTATATTTATTCGTTAGCTTATATTTGGTTTTAAAAAGTATATGCTTAATTTTATTTTTTGAAATTTTTAGTTGTTAGGAAACAATTTAAAATCGAACATAATAAAATCGAAAGTATGAAATTATATAATATTAGAAATATAATAATTTTCATGTCAAATCGCCATATAAAAAATCTCGAAAATACTCCAAAATAATTAAAAACTAATTATATATATTTTTAAAATATAAAATATAAAAAGATATATCATTATATATAGTTTCTAAATTTTCAATATACCACACAATTAAGAAATAATATATTTTTAAAAATATATATTATTAATGTCTTTTGTTCAATTGTTGAAAGAAGTTAATACGGAAATATTGAATTCTAATTAAATTGTGTAAATATAAGTCCGTCAAACCTTGGATAACAAAAACAAAAAAGGAGTTTTCTTCGAAGTTAAATAAGCATTATATCAGAATACTTTTTAAAATCTTGATTCTGAAAAGATAAGCATATAAGAAGGAATATGTCAATTATATACAAACAAGCACGATCCGGAACACTGCATAAAAGCAAAGAGCTTCCAACTACCATCATTATGATGTATTTTAATCTCGACAATCGGAGTATTTTGTTTGTTACAATATTGTCAGCTTACATCAATTGCCGTTTGATCATCATGTAAGCTCAGTAACGCACACCCTAATTGGAATATTTAAGCGCGCTCGACTGTTTTATCTCATCCTCCCGACTTGGCGGCGCACTTGTGCAACTATCGTGATTTAAAGAGAACACAGTTCAGTATTATTCAAAGTCCATCAAAATGTTAAACGACGGGGCAAATATCAAATGTATGTGCGTCTTATCGACTCATACACGGTGACACGTGAATGCACTGGTATAAAAGTCTAAAGCTCCTCCATATAGTGAGTGATTGGTATTTACATTATATTATTACATCTTTTCAATTGAATTCCTACATAACTTTAGTTAGAGGAGAGGTACTCTTTTTTACCTACATTTTTCTTCCAAAACTTTCTGTTAAAATTGATATCAATTGAGAGACGTTTGTAATTTTTTAGACTTTATTTTATTAATTACTATTAATAATAATTGAATTTTCATACTGTTTAATTAAATTACTAAAAATTCAAATACTTCTCATATTTTTTAAATTACATTATTTTGTGGTGAAGATTAATTAAGTAATTCACTTCATTTTAATATTTATATATTTCTATATTGTTATTATTATTATGACTACTGCTATGAATTCTTACTATATTATTATTTATATTATATTTTACTAAGTTTTAGATTTAGATCAAAATTATAGCTATCTGTTCTGCTAATGTAAATACATCTCAATAAATATTTCTGTTGAAATTTTCTATCGATTACAAAATTTAAATAAAATAATTTTTTACAACTAAAGTCCATATAGTTATTAATACTAATTTTTTTTAAATATATTCTAAATAATATTTAAAATCAGTTAGATGCACCCTAAAATAAATTTTTATACAAACCATACTCATATAAAACTGCATATTATTTACAAGTTAATAAAATATGAAAATATTTTTCAAGAAAATGTCTATTTGTATAAAAGAAGTACTTGAATTATTAAATATTATTAATAGTTACTAGAGAAAAGAAAATGAGAATAACATTTTCGTGACATTGTTTTATAATTTGCTTATAAATATAGAATAATACTATATGTCAGTTGATTTAACTTCTGTCTCGCTGTCAGTCTTCCTCTTTCTCTTTCACTAATTAATTCTTTGTTTAATTCTTTCTCTACATTTGTCTTCTATCTTGAATTTGTAGATCTACTTTATCTAATAAGAACAAACAAATAACTAACCTTAAGCGTGTATTAACTAAAGATTGAATTTGCCTAATGGGTACCAATCTCCTACGAATGTGAAACAACTCATAGATATCATGTAAGTAAAACAAAAATGCATTTCTACAAAATAAAAAAAATAAAACACATTTAAAAACTCACGACGCGCACTTGTACACTCATTAAACTTGTTTCTTCTTTTTTTCGTCGTCAGAAAATCAAAGAAATAAGATGTACAACAAAATTGTATCTTGTTGATTAAAAGCTCCACTTTTCGGCACTTTTTCTTGTCACACTAATCGTAATGAGTTTTGTAGGTTATCTATAGTAACAGAGCGCATTGGCAATCGTCAATATATAATTTTACTCTCTTTCCCATCCTCTTTATTTTGTGAATTTTTTTACGGATCGAGGAAGCACGCGACAAGTTGTTCTTTATTCACGGCAAAAAAAGCGTGATATAACTAAGAACCTAAAAATCAGGAAATTTTAAGGAGCTTGTTTTGAGAGATCAATCAGGTACCACAAATCGCGTAGATTGGATGTAGCTTGTTCGAACTATTACGCGGTCCAATACGCTCTACGTTCAGATTAAATTGAGCAGCCGCCATTTGCCATTTCCCCTCTTATACAACTTTGTATAGTGTGAGATATTTTTCATCGCATGTACGAAAGCACGCGATACAGAGGCACTTGCATACTACATCTGCAACAGCTGTTTTTTTTTTAACAAACTAACTAAATGCCACTAGGGAAATACATATTCAATATGGTCGATCTTATAATTTTCCTTAGATCTTCTGGACACACTAGATGCTAGATATACTTTGCGTTTTTGCATTGGTAATTGAGAGATCTTTAGACTGCCTTTGCTGTTCAGCGGTAATTTTAAGTTAACATCTCGAAAATTTTTACATTACATTTTTTTTCATTTACAATAATACATTTAAAAAATATAATAATGCTATTTAAAAAATAAAACGCTAATGTTTTTATTAACGTCAAATTGTATACATTAATAAATACTACATTTATATTAAAATAAATATATATCAATAATAAACTGATTAATAGATAAAAAATCAATGTAAAATTGTTATACATATAATTTTATTTTTGATTAATCAAAAATTTATTTACAATAATTTTTAATAATTAAATATAAAAAAATTGTAAAAAGTTTAATGCTATTGAAGAATTTAAAATTTTAAAATATAAAGTGTATATAAATTTCCTTAGTATTTTCGGATATATAAAATATAAAATTATAATAAATTTTAGTTTTTATTTATAGATTATCTTATAGGAATAAATTTAAAATTAGTTTTCAAAAAATTTTTCCCAAATAACTATATTTACTTTTATTTTCATGCTTAATTAAATTCTATACCAAAAGATATTTTTAATTAAATTTATATTCGTTTTTTATTTTAAATATTAACTTTATATCAACAAACTATCAATTTTGTATTAAAATTATATTGAATATATTAATGTTAAAGGAAATTATTTTAAATTTATCAATTTTTCAATATAATTAAGGATTGATAATAAACTTAGTTTAATATGTATGTATGAATTTTTTTAGTGATATTTTATTACTTTCATTTGGAAATGTTACAATTACATTTAATAATTATAGTAACTTATTGTTTTATTCACAGTACCAAAAATTTGATATGTTATTGAGATAGTAGCCAGCATAAAAAAATCATAAGTCTTTTAATTATTGTTACATAAAATATAAACAAATCTTTCTACATGGAAAGATAGAAAAAATTTGTTTTTAAAAAATTATATTTTAAATTTATAATTATTTGTTCATCGTTATTTAGTAAACTGTTTATGTGTGATAAATACATGATTAACTCGTATGTTTCAGTAGTCAAACTCATATTTTATGGGTTAGAAATATAGAAAGACAAAAAGAGATAGATTTGTTAGATAACGACTTCCTTTTTCACATAGCTTTTTAAATAAATAATTTAAATTGGATGTTAATTTTGTTGAAGTATTATAAAAGATATTTATCATTTTTATTTAATTTGGAATGTAAATATTTAATTCTTATAATTATACATCATTATATATAAGAAAAAAATTTTTACTTAAAACTGAAATTAAAAGAAGCTTTGGATGCACATTTTCTATAAACAAGAATAGACATTGTTTTTAAATATTGATACTATTAATATTTTATTAAATAAGATTTATTATGATTCTCTTTATTATTTGTAATTACTATTTATTAATAATTTTTTTTACAATATATTATTTGAATTCACTTTTAATTTATGAAACCCAATTCTGTATACGAACAAATATTCTTTAAAAGAATAATTAACTTTACTCAGAATTTTCATTTCGTACAATTCTATTCAATATTGATAAATACGGATTATTTAAAAAGTAATTATCAAATCATTTAATACCATTTCGAATCTTGTTTCAATATAAGTATACATTATAACATAGAATATACAATAAAATATTTTAAACGAAATATGAAAGTGTCTGAAATAAAATTAGTTTTTTTTTTCAGTTTAAAATAATCCATATTTACTAATATTCAATAAAATTATACATATACAATCACACATATATACAATTTATTCTGTATAGTATTTGTCTTGTATTAAAAACATTATATTAAATCAGACTATAATTTAAAAATAAAATGTTAATGATTTTATAATCATTAATAAAATTTTAAATAAAATTGAGAGTTTTAAAAACTTCATAATTATATTCTTTTTTATGTTGTCTCCGTGGTTACATGTAATTGTAACTTGTATTTAGTTGTTAAAGACGTTTCCTTATCTTAATGTAATAAATGTAATTATGTTTCAATAAATTAATAATATTTTATTTATTACAATAACATTTATTACAAAAAAATGTCTACTACAATGCCAACAAATATAAAAATATATAAATAATATTGAATAAGTATTAATTAAAGAAAATTTCAAATATTTTCTAATTAATATTAATTTGACCGTTTGGTTATAGTAAAATACAATAATAATTTTAAAATATGATTTAGCATTTTTAATTAGAATTGTTTAGAAATAATTCACGTAATACCATGTATTTACTATTATTCAGAAATTCTTTATTAGATTTTGATTCTATTAGTTTACTTTAAAAACTGATATCACTATTAAAACAGAGCATGTTCAAATTATATTCATTTTTACTCTTATCTCTTATCCAATTAATATCTTTTCGTTAATCCTGTTAATATAAACTTATACGTAGATTCGAACTTCGATAATCATTATCTCTCTTTCTATTTTTTTTGCACAACTTACAGAATGGTATATCCAAGTTTGAAAAAAATCTAATTAATAAATAAATATATTAAATTGTGTAATAATAAAATCTATTTTTATAATATAATTTGAAGATATAAATAATATTATTAATATTAATGTAATAAGGCTATATTTGGATAAAGTCTGTGAAATGGAATCCATTAAAGTGAGGCATGATGGAAATGAGTACAAACGATGGTGATAGTATTATCAAACGTTATACTTTGTATCATATAAAAAGTATGAAAGATAAAGGAAAATAGGAAGATAGTTCTTTACTGATAAAACAAATGACCTTAATTGCATTAATATTAACTATTAAAGAATGCTTACTAATTATATTACTTTAAATATTTGAAATATTTAAATATTTTATATTTTTCTGCGTTTTTATTTTATATTTTTCCTATATACGTTTCTGAATTAAAATCTTGATGTTCATACTATGATTAACAGTAAAATATTTATTTATATTATTTAAATGAATTTCTAATACTAAATACTTATCTATTCATTTAATTTCTTACAGAATTTAAAAATATTTTATGACTTATTACGTTATTGATAAAAATGTTAAAAATATTTATTACTTGGTTTTTTCCAATATGATCACTTGTAAATATAATTCAAAATAATTTATTAATAAGACTGATAATTATCGGATAAATTAAACTACATTGTTTTAATGTCAAGTAAAATACATCATAAAGTCAATTAATTTTATTAGATATACAATTAAAAATGACATTTATCTATTTATGTATTTATTATATAAACAGACTCTAGCGTGCTGCAATATTGTATTCATACAAAATACAATTCTTATTTATTACATTTTAATTAAATTTTATTACTCAAGGATTGCAGTTCTTAACCATTTTTAACATCAATCAATTATATAATATATTATTTATATTATTTGTATTATTTTTTATATTTTTATATTTAAAATTCATATTTATCCTTGCATTATAGCATTATATCTTAAGAATAGATATATCTAAATAAAATCTATGATTTAAAATTTTTGTCTTTGATATAATGATATTTTTAAAAAATTATATGATTTTTCTATAAAAATTCAAAATACTTTAAAATTTAGAAATATTTTATTGATTGTTTATTAATATAAACATATATTCGATTTATAATTTGATTTTTTTAATTATTTACTGTTTTTCTTATTTATATGTTATAGAAATAATGTTTTAATTCGATTACTATTATTATAATTATATTTTTATTATTATATATTTTTTTATATGATATTATATTATATATACATATTATATGTACATATAATATATACATAATATACATAAAAAAATATTATATTATATAATTATAATTAACGACAATTAAAATAAATGAATTAATGTTATATATAATATTTTCTCCGATTAAAAATAATAAACTTAAGTATTTTTATATCTTTTAATATATTCTTTATTAATTATACAATACATTGTAAAAATAATTTTTAATTATTATATATAATTATTATGTTCCTCTTTATAAATAAATGGTATAAATAATGAATTATATTTTAAAAAGGACAATTTAATAGTATATTCATTTAATTATGAAATATATTCATAACATTTTTAGTTATTCACAATAAAAGATTATTTATATTATTATTATGTAAATTTTATATTAATTGGATGTTTATTTAGACGTGTTACTTTGAATATGTATCGTTTATTGGAATAGAATGTAAATATAAAGGTATTGAAATTAATCATCTATATTTTGGGAATGTATTGGTTTTACTGTGTG